ACTGGCCCTTGAGAGATGCTTAAGGGAATGCTAAACATGGAAACAAAATAATTATACTTGCTATCCTGAAAGCATATGAAAGCATATAGCCCACAGACCCTACAAAGCAGCTACATGTTAGAGACTACAAAGCAACTTAACAACAATCCAACAAGAACAAAACCTCACTTATCAATATTAACCTTGAATGTAAATGCCCTTCACTTAAAAGACATAGAGTGGCAAATTGGATTTAAAAACCAGATCTATCCTCCTGCTGTCTTCAAGAGACCTATATCACATGTAATGATGCCCATAAGCTCAAAGTAAAGGGATGGAGAAAGATCTATCACACAAATGGAAAACAAAAAAAGAGCAGGGGTCACTATTCTAAAATCAGATAAAATAGTCTTTAAACCAGCAACAGTAAAAAAGAACAAAGAATGGCATTATGTAATGAGAAAGGGTTCAATTCAACAAGAAAATTTAACTATCCTAAATATATATGCACTCAACATTGGAGCACCCACATTTATGAAACGATTACTTCTTAGAGCTAAGAAGAGACTTTGACAGCCACACAATGAAAGTGGAGAACTTCAACACCCCACTGATAGCATTAGATAGATCTTTGAGGCAAAAAACTCATAAAAAAATTCTGGACTTAAATTCAACACTTGACCAATTAGACCTAACAGACATCCACAGAATATTCCACCCAACAACCACAGAATATACATTCTTCTCATCTGCACACAGTACACACTGTAACATTGACCACATGCTTGATCATAAAACCAGTCTCTAATACATTTTAAAAACTGAAATCATACCAAGCATCTTCTCAGACCACAGTGGAATAAAAACAGAAGTCAATACCAAGAGGAATTGTCAAAACCACAGAAATATACAACCACACAACCTAAAAACTTGCTCCAGAATGACTTTGGGTAAATAACAAAATTAAGGCAGAAATTTAAAAAGTATTTGAAAGAAGTGAAAATGGAAACACAAAATACAAAAACCTCTGGAATGTAGCAAAAGCAATGTTGAGAGGAAACTTTACAGTGCTAAATGCCTACATTGAGAAGACAGAAAGATCTCAAACTAACAACCTAACCTTGTACCTAATGAAAGTAGAAAAACAAAAACAAACTAAAATCAAAGCTAGCAGAAGAAAAGAAAGAAATAACAAAAATAAGAGCAGAACTAAATAAAATTGAGACACACAAAAAACATACATTTCATTTTTCAGAAAAAAAAGGAAAGAAAAATGGATTTGAGAGGATGAACAAGAGTGACAGTCCACTAAGTAGATTAACAGAAAGAGAGAAGATTCAAATAAGTCCAATAAGAAATGACAATGGTAACATCACAACCAATCCCACCAAAGTACAAAAGATCTTTGGAGACTACTATGAACATCTCTAAGCAAATAAGCTAGAAAATCTAGAGGAAATGGATATATTCCTGGAAACATACAACCTCCCAAGATTGAACCAGGAAATAAAAGAGAAATCTTGAACAGGTCAATAACAAGTAATAAAATGAAATCAGTAGTTCAAAAAAACAACCCACCAAGCAAAAAGAAGCCCTCGACCAGATGGAGTCACAGCCCAATTCTACCAGACATGCAAAGAAGAGCCAGAATCATTTCTACTATCTATCTCCTAAAACTACTCAAAAACTTCAAGAAGAGATTTCTCTCTAACTTGTTTTATAAAACCAGAATCATCCTAATACCAAAATCTAGCAAAGACACAACAAAAAAAAAAGAAAACTACAGGCCAGTATCTTGGATCCTCAACAAAATTCCTCAACAAAATACTAGCAAACTGAATTCAGCAGCACATCAAAAAGCTAATTCACCACAATCAAGTGGGCTTTATTCCTGGGATGCAAGGATAGGTCAACATACACAAATCAATAAATGTGATTCACCACATAAACAGAACTAAAAACAAAAGCCATATGATCATCTTAATAGATGCAGAAAAGGCATCTGATAAAATCCAACATCCCTTCATGGGAAAAAAAAAAAAACCCTCAACAAGGTAAGCATTAAGGAACATACCTCAAAATAATAAGAGCCATCTATGACAAACCCACAGCCAACATCAACCTGAATGGGCAAAAACTGGAAGCATTTCCACTAAGAACTGAAAGAAGACACGGATGTCCACGTTCACCTCTCTTATTCAACATAATACTGGAAGTCTTAGCTGGAGCAATCTGGCAAGAGAAAGAAATAAAAAGCATCCACATAGGAAAAGAGGAAGTTAAATTACCTGTCTTTTGCTGATGATGTAATTCTATACCTAGAAAACCCTAAGGATTCTGCCAAAAAACTCCTAGACTAACTTCAGATAAACTAACTCCTAGATAAACAACTTCAGCAAAGTCTCAGCATACAAAATTGGTGTACAAAAATCAGTAGTGTTTCTATACACCAACAATATTCAAGCTAAGAATCAAATCAAGAATGAAATCTCGGGCCGGGCGCGGTGGCTCAAGCCTGTAATCCCAGCACTTTGGGAGGCTGAGGCGGGTGGATCACGAGGTCAAGAGATCGAGACCATCCTGGTCAACATGGTGAAACCCCGTCTCTACTAAAAATGCAAAAAGTTAGCTGGGCATGGTGGTGCGTGCCTGTAATCTAAGCTACTCAGGAGGCTGAGGCAGGAGAATTACCTGAACCAAGGAGGCGGAGGTTGCGGTGAGCCGAGATCACGCCATTGCACTCCAGCCTGGGTAACAAGAGCGAAACCCCGTCTCAAAAAAAAAAAAAAAGAATGAAATCTCATATACAATAGCCACAAAAAATAAAATACCTAGGAATACATCTAACTAAGAGGTCAAAGATCTCTACAAAGAGAACTAAAAAACAGTGCTGAAAGAAATCATAGATGATGCAAACCAATAAAGAAACGTTCCATGCTCATGGATTGGAAGAAACAATAATAAACGTCTATACTGCCCAAAGCAATCTACGGATTCAGTACTATTCCTATAAAATTATCAATGCCACTTTCACAATAAATTTTTTTATTTCTTATTTTATTTTAGATTTGGGGGTATGTGTGCAGGTTTGTTACATGGGTAACATTCCTACTAAATTATTCTAAAATTCATATGGAATCCAAAAGAACCTGAATACCCAAAATAATTCTAAGCAATAAAAACAAAGCTGGAGGCATCACACTACCCAACTTCCAAGGCTACAGTAACCGAAACAGCACACTATTGGTAGAAAAATAGAAATATCAATCAATGGAATGGAATAGAGGCTCCTGAAATAAAATGACACACTTACAAACAACTGACTTTTGACAAAGATGACAAAAATAAATAATGGGGAAAGAATACCCTATTCAATAAATGGTGTTGAGAAAACTGGCTAACACTATGCAGAAGAATGAAACTGGACCCCTACATCTCACCATACACAAAAATTAACACAACGTGGATTAAAGACTTAAATCTAAGACCTGAAACTATAAATCCTAGAATAAAATCTAGGAAATACTCTTCTAGACATTGGCCTAGGCAAAGAATTTATGACTAAGTCTTCAAAAGCAAAAGCATAAAAACAAAAATTGACAATTGGGACCTAATTAAACTAGGAGCTCCTGTACAGCGAAAGAAACTGTCAACATGGAAATCATACAACCTACAGAATGGGAGAAAATACTTCCAAGCTGCCTCCACCAAAGGACTAGTATCTGGAATCTATAAGGAACTGAAACAAATCAACAAGAAAAAACAAATAACCCTATTAAAAAGGGGGCAAAGGACATGAACAGATACTTCTAAAAAGAAGACATACAAGTGGCCAACAAGCATGTGAAAAAATGCTCAATGTCACTAATCTTCAGAGAAATGTAAATCAAATCCACATAAGATACCATGTCGCACCAGTCAGAATGGCTATTATTAAAAAGTCAAAAAATAACAGATGTTGGTGAAGTTGTAGAGAAAAGGGAATGCTTATATACACTTGGTTGGAATGCAATTTAGTTCTGCCCCTGTGGAAAGCAGTTTGGAGATTTTTCAAAAAACTAAAAATAGAATTACCATCCAAACTATTACTGGGTATATACCCAAAGAAAAATAAATCATTCTACGAAAAAGATACCTGTACTTATATGTTTATTGAAGCACTATTCACAATAGAAAATACATGCAATCAACCTAGGTGTCCACAAATGGTAGACTGGATAAAGAAAATGTGGTACATATACACCATGAAATACTAAGCAGCCATAAAAATGAATGAAACCATGTTCTTTGCAGCAACATGAATGCAGCTGGAGGCTATTACCCTAAGCAAGTCAACGTAGAAACAAAACAAAATACCGCATTTGCACTTATAAGTAGAAGCTAAGCATTGGGTATACAATGACACAGAAATGGGAACAATAAACACTGGGGATTCCAAAAGGGAGGAAGGAAGGAGGAGGCAGGGGTTGAAAAACTACATATTGAGTGTTCGGTCCAATTCTTGGGCAATGGGATCATTAGAAGCTCAGACTTCAGCATCCCACAATATGCCCATGTAACAAACCTGCACACAGAGCTCCAAATCTAAAATAAAATAAGAAATAAAAAATTTTACAGTTGAGAAAATGGAGTCATAGTGTGGTTGAGTGACTTGCCCAAGGTCACATAGCTAGTAGTAGAGCTTCAGCCATTTTTATTTCCAAATTTTGCAAAGGCTGGGATCATCCGGTGTTAACTTTCATTGTGTATTAGTCTATTTTTGTATTGCTGTAAAGAATTACCTGAGACTGGGTAATTAAAAGAGGTTTAATTGGCTCATGGTTCTGCAGGCTGTATAGGAATCATGGTGCTGGCATCTGCTTGATGCTTTTGATGAGGCCTCAGGGAGCTTTTATTCATGGTGGAAGGTGAAGCAGGAGCAGGCAGCTTACACGGAGAGAGAAGGTGCAAGAAGGGGGAGGAGGTGCCACATTCTTTTATTTTTTTATTTTTATTTATTTTTTATTTTTTTAATTAGGAAGTCCAGTTTATAACATTTTTATTTAAAAAAAAAATAAAAGGAAAAAATAATCAGCATAGTCAAGTTCTCTTAGTCTTAAGGCTTTCTGGATTTCTTCCTTGGAGGAGGTCAGGATCTTCCCAAGGCCTGGGTCCTCGAATATTCTTCCATTCATCAAAAGTGGAGTCTCTTATTTTCTCATATTCTGATTCTAAAGTTATTTTATTGTCTCTCAGTCTTTTTTCGAACTCAGGATCAAGTTTATTCTTCACAGCATCATATCGGATTTGAGAAAACTCATGAAGACCAAAAGAACCTCCAATCATCAGCAACAACATAGGGACTCTGTAGCGAAGAGTCTTGTTCTTGCACAAAGCACGTATCACCGCGGGTGTAAACATGACTGAACTTTTCCATCCGCTCAGAGCTCCAAGCGGGCCCAGTGCAGACTCCGAAATCTCAGCGGCCCAAGCTCTCACCAAGACTAGGACGACCTGGACTCACCGCCACATTCTTTTAAACAACCAGATTTCATGTGAACTGAGAGCCAGGACCCACTCATCAAGCTATTCATGAAGGATTAACCACATGGCCCAAACACCCCCCCCAATAAGGCCCCACCTCCAACACTGGCGATTACATTTCAACATGAGATTTGGAGGGGACAAACATCTAAACTCTATCACATTGTGTACCCACCACCTACCCCTGTCCCTGCTCCAGTCACGTTATGAAAATTCAGGGTGAATAAAAGGTTGCAAATCTGTGTTCTTTATCATTCTTCACACACCATATCCCAAAGTTCAGGCCTTCCTTGTGCCTGGTTCTTATCCCACAACACTAGCCTTGCTGGCTCCCCTCCTAAAAAATGAAATCTCATTCACCTCCAGACTTCGATAGCTATTAAGAGATTAGTACTGTCAGCCTACCTTGATTTCTCACGTATCTTGCCTGTAATGCCTCCCACTTCTTTGCTACACGTACGGACCATTCCTTTCCCCACACTGACTGCCAATTATTATCACACTTGTGGTGCTCTTCTGGCCTTTGCACCAGATCTGAAGTAAAGAAAAGCAGAATCCTTCACATCAAACACTTGCAAGTATTACCTGCTGCCTAGTTGTCTCTGGCCCTATCTGATCCCAGTGTGATTTCTTCCTGGTGTTCCTCAGAACCTCATATCCCTGGCAAGGTGCCGGACTGCCTAAATTTGAGCTACAGCCTCAATTTTAGAGTTGTTTTAAAGGCTAAGAAAATCTCACAAGTTTGAAAAGAAGGGAAGGATGGCAGGGAGAGATGAAAGGGAAGAAACACAACAATTTTCTTCCCCCTTCTCGTCAAAATGTAGGGTAGTATGTAAATACTGCAGACTTAGGGTACAAAGCGCATTTAATTTTAGGAGAAACAAATCTCCAAAATCACTAACCCAGTTTTTTTGGTTTTTGTTTTTATTTTCAAGAAAGGGTCTTCCTTTGCAGCCCAGGCTGGAGTGCAGTGGTGTGATCACAGCTCTCTGCAGCCTGGACCTCCTCGGCTCAAGCAATCTTCCTACCTCAGCTGCCCAAGTAGCTGGGACTACAAGCATGCACCACCATGCCCAGCTAATTTTTTTTTTTTTTTTTTTTTTTTTTTGTAGAGACGAAGTTTCGCCATGCTGTACGGGCCAGTCTTGAACTCCTGGGCTCAAGCAATCTGCCTGCCTTGGCCTCCCCAAGTCCTGGGATTACAGGCTTGAGCCACTGCACCTGACCTAACACAGCATTTTGAGGAGAGGGCACAGGAGAGTAAGGAGGAAAAAACGAACATGGAATGGGAAGAAATTAACAAACATTGTAGGCACAAATCAACTAAGGTATGTGACAAAGCTGGTGTGAAAAGTCTGGATTCCTATTTTTTCATCAACTCATTTTGTCTACTGAAGCTGTACTATGATTCAGTGGCTACCTTACATAGATGCTGTTTCTGAAAAATCCCTCTTTAGCCCGCAGGCTCCTTCAAGTGAATGATCACGTTCACGTTCACAGATATGCTATAAACTTTGTATATAAAGGATAGATTCAGCCGGGCGCGGTGGCTCAAGCCTGTAATCCCAGCACTTTGGGAGGCCGAGGCGGGTGGATCACGAGGTCAAGAGATCGAGACCATCCTGATCAACTTAGTGAAACCCCGTCTCTACTAAAATTACAAAAAAATAGCTGGGCATGGTGGCGCGTGCCTGTAATCCCAGCTACTCAGGAGGCTGAGGCAGGAGAATTGCCTGAACCCAGGAGGCGGAGGTTGCGGTGAGCCGAGATCGCGCCATTGCACTCCAGCCTGGGTAACAAGAGCGAAACTCCGTCTCAAAAAAAAAAAAAAAAAAAAAAAAAAAAAAAAGGATAGATTCACAGTTTGCAGGTGTCTGGCATGTGGCCAGCCTGACTGAGGTGGGAAGAAGAGCCAGGAAGGTGACTCCTTCAGCTGAGAATGACTTGCCAATCAAAGATAATTCTACAAAAGAATGATCTTGTTACTTCAATTCGCTTCTAATGAAGATAGCCTGTGACTAATACAAGATTGAGCATAATGAGTTCCTTTACCTTAGATGTGCGTAAGACAAATTAAACATCTCCCTCACTCCATAACCCCAGCCCTGTAAAGGCTCTAACTTAGCTACACCGGGGGAAAACACGAACAACTGAGTAAGGGAGAGAGCAAACCATGCCACAGTTGGACAGCAGGGTAGAGAGAGCAACCCAGCATTCTCTGCTTGGTATAACGACGTGAAGCTATAGTCTTAGTGGTTGCCCTGGTGATTATAATTAGCACCTTAATTCATAAAAACCCCATTTGAATTAGTATCAACTTAATTTCAATGGTATACAAACAATATTGTTCCCATAAAACTCTATTTCTTTTCCCTTCCTTTATGCTTTACATCTTTATACATTGCATGCCCATGAACATGGACATAATTATTGCTTTACGCAGTTGTCTTTTAAATCAGACAGGAGAACGAACAAGTTACATACAAAAAATACAACCATACTGTCTTTTATGTTTATCTATGTACCTACCTTTTCTGGTGTTATTTATTTCTTCATGTGGATTCGAGTGTCCTGTCTAGTGTCCTTTTATTTTAGCCCGAAGGATTGCCTTTAATATTTCTTGGAGGACAGTTCTGCTAGGGACAAACTATTTGTTTTTATTTCTCCAAGAATGTCTTACTGTCTTCTTATTTTATGAAGGATAATTGTATATATCCTATGCTGTGACATCTGTAGTCGCCTACACATTTCTTCCACAGCATTTACACTTTTCCCCCAAGATATAAGCCCTGGGTCTGGAGGGTTGCGGCGCAGAGATCTGTCTGTCTTGCAGCCACCCAAGACCATGCTTCTGTCCATAAATTCCCCAGTACATCACCCTGTACTGTCAAACTGCCAGTCTGACTTATCCTTTGGTTTCTTGGCTCCTTCCAGGTTTCAGGGTCACTTTGCACATATTGACCTTTCATGGAGCATAAAGATACTAATGACTCTATTTCCAGTAGTAAAGAGAGCACAGATATTGCATAGCATAGCATGAACTGTGCATAGAGATATGCAAAATATCTGCATTGGATACTCCTAATCAACCACTTGTAAGAAGCAAGGAGCTGAGTGACTCTGTATTATAATCCTTTTCAAAATTCTTTAAAACTAAGAAATATAAAGACAATGGTTGGTTGCTCCTAATGTTGCTGGACAAATTGATGAAAGAAAAGGATGAGCTCAGGGATTCAAATTCCAAGCTCTGTGTTTGCTGCAAATCAAACAGAACCTCATCTTGTTATTGGCTAGATTAAACTCAACCTCGCAGGGTGTCTCCTGTTAAAGGGCGGACATCAATTGGGAAAGAATGGGATCTTGTAAATTAGAATGGGGATGCGTAGGAAGACCTTGATGAAGCTGGGGACATTGAGCTCCTAAATTCTGAGTCTTCTTTGCCAGTGGAAGAGAACACACCACCCCAAGCAAAAGTGACCTCCCCCTAATAGTGGCAGCTGCATCTATATCCTTGGTGCTGTTAGCCTCTTCACCCATAGTAGTCTTGGTCTTTCCACCTTCTTCTGAGAGAATTAATCCTGCATTGCCTTAAGGCACTGTAAAGGCCTCCCCTGAGGCAGTTGTCATACAAGACCATGCTGAGTCTGTCCAGGACCCTCCCCCCCCCCGGAACCACCAACACCCTTCTTTGCTGCTAGACCCATAACTAGACTTAAGTCCCAGCAGTTCCCTAAAAGTGAGATACAATGTGTGACCCATGAGCAGGTCTACTACATTCCAAAAGAACTACTAGAGTTTTCCAATTTATACAGCCAGAAATCCAAGAAGCATATATGGGAATGGATTATAAGACATTGGGATAATGGTAGAAGGAATATGAAGTTGGATCAGGCTGAATTTATTGACGCAGGCTCACTAAGCAGAGATCCTACATTTAATGTTACAGCTTAGGGAATTAGAAACAGTTCTAAAACTTTGTTTTGTTGGTTGGCTGATGCATGGACCAAAAGGTAGCCCACAGTAGGCAAATTGGAAATGCTGAATATGCTTTGGTTTAATGCAGAGGAACAGATTCAAAGGCTTAAGGAGATTGGAATGTTAGAGTGGATTTGTCATTTAAAACCTATTCATCCACACTGGGAGGGTTCAGAAGATATACCTATTGCCAACACCGTGAGAAATAAATGTATGACGGCAACCACAGGATCCCTGAAATGCTCTGTGTTCTCTGTTCTCTGTAGACCAGACCTCACAGTGGGAATTGCAGTTACTGAATTGGAAAACCTAAATGCAATGGGAGTAACTGGATCATGGAATAGCAAAGACCAAGTGGCAGCACTCAACCACCAAAGGCAAAATGAGCATAATTATCATAATGGACAGCAGAGTCACGCAGCAATCAGAATAGCCTGACTCATGCAGACCTACGACATTGACTAGTTAGTCATGATGCTTCATTTCCTAGAAGTGAAATAGACAGGAAATCCCCTTGATCTGTTATAAGCAGAACATTTCTAGGACAAGGGAACAAAAGCCTAACTCAAATAATAAAAACAGAAAGTCATAGCACCTCATTCCATTTCTAGACTTGAACCCATTTATAGACCCAGTACTTTTTTAATGAAGGGGAGGTTGTATCACCTCAAGGAAGAACCCAGGTACACTAGCAAAAATTTGTACTATTACTCTTGCTCCCAGCCTTCTGTAAATGGACCTGTGGACTTTTACCAGGGTAACTGTACATTAGGGAAAAGGAAATAATCAGAATTTGGGGGCCTACTGGATACTGGTTCTGAACTGACACTACTCCAGGAGACCCAACACATAATGTGGCCTACTAATCGGAGTAGGGGCTTACAGAAGTCTGGTGATCAATGGAGTTTTAACTGAGGTCCATTTCACAGTGGGTTGCATGAACCCATGTGGCAGTTATTTCGCATCTGGCAAATATAACTGCCACATGGGTTCATGCAA